AGAGGTGTATGACATGGAAGTACTGACATTTAACTTGAGACAACAAGCCTATAAAATTTCTGCATACTGGGGTAAATGGTTGAGAAGAAGCTTCTTGCTTTAAGCGGGGAGTCCCCAACAGGTTTCCATCGCCTAAATAACTCAGCTACGACTACATGTACTGCCATGTCCTCATGGCTAGTACACGTGTTGTGCATCCAGATGAAACTTTCGGCAAGCGATTGCTCAACCGCAAAAGCTGTGGCTCCACAAAAAGGGTCTTATAAGGGTCCAAACGGGGACTTGAACCCTGTTCCCTTAGATTGAAAGTTTGATGCTCTACAATGTTTTTAAGTAGACAAGGTTTAGAGTTGTGGTCGGCGCAGACCTTTACGGTACACAAAAATTTACCGTGATGTGGGGTTTTGGCTTGTGGTTGTTGTAGATGTTGCTAAAACACAACAGATTACTTTGAGGTTGGGTTTATGGTTGTTGTAGGTGTAGACATCAGTAAAACAAAATACTTTTACTCCATGTCATGTAGGAGACAATAAATGGATCAATAGCAACTGCAGAAGGGGTTACTGTTGTTGTGGCAATGAATGGAGACTTAACAATTGAAAAGATTAGTTCCATGCCTTAGAAGCGTGACTTGATCAATGCTTATCTACACAGCATGCTGGCATCAAAGGTCCCGTTGCTCATATCGTATCACTAGTTTTCCACACTTTAGGAAACATAAACATTCATTAACACAGCCTGCACTAAAAGGAGGCTGGAGATTACGGATGGCAACACAGAGTCCAACGCCAATGTCACCTTGAAAAATCTGCTGTGACCCAGATTCAAACTGGAGTTGCTGCGGCCACAACGCAGAGTACTAACCATTATACGATCACGGCAAGCTATGGGACAACCACTGGACCTTCACTCTCTGTCAAATGTCTTTGAAAATGGAGGGCCTCCAGGGCAGTTAGGTACCATGGCTGCCGATTTATTTTTGTGGCTTTTGCCTACCATCACATCCATTTTCACAAGAAACAATGGAGTTGTTAACAATCAAGGAAGGTCGCAAATTAAAATACTGCGCACTGCCAGCACGTAGTCAGCAGGACTCGAACCTGCGCGGGGAGACCCCAATGGATTTCAAGTCCATCGCCTTAACCACTCGGCCACAACTACATGTACTGCCATGTCCTCATGGCTAGCACACGTGTGGTGTGGTGCATCCAGATGAAACTTTCGGCAAGCAATAGCTCGACCGCAAAAGCTGTGGCTCCACAAAAAGGGTCTTATATGCCCAAACTGGGACTTGAACCCTGGACCCTCAGATTAAAAGTCTGATGCTCTACTGACTCAGCCATCCAGGCTCCATGGCTAAGCTTTTTAAGTAGGCAATGTTTAGGGTTGTGGTCAGTGCAGACCTTTATGGTACACAAAAGTTTACCGTGACGTTGGGTTTAGGCTTATGGTTGGTGTGGAGGTTGCTAAAACACAACAGGTTACTGTGAGGTTGGGTTTTTGGTTGTTGTAGGTGTAGACATCAGTACAACACAATAGTTTGGACTCCATGTCATGTAGGAGACATTAAATAGATCAATAGCAACTGCAGAAGGTCTTTCTGTTGTTTTCTATAATTTCTTTCCATTCTTTCAGTCTATTTTTTTTCATGTTAGTAAATTGATTTTCAATAACTCTTGTCAAAGATAGAGAATAAATTGGAAATGCACAGCGATGAAGGAAGGGTGATTAACTTTAAAGAAAATCAATATGCTTTCAAAGATGGTATACTAAAAATGTTTTATTCTTGCTTATCTAAAGACGTGTTTGTAACACCCAAAGCAAAAGAGTACTGGAAAAGATTATATATCCCAATATCTAAAAGAAGGAAATATGGCAAAATTTGAGAGCTTGGTGGAAAAGTCCAGTTTTAGAGAATTTTGAATATATTTTAAGACAAAACTGTTTATTAAGTGAAATTAGATTGTGTAAAATAGGTTTGGCAAATTGTCATTTTAGAATTATAAGGTTCTATCTGCGTTCTGAATGATTTTGTGATATTGAGCTTAAAAGTTTTTGCATTCCATGTATCAAACAATGTGTGTGTAGCATTTCTCTTTCATACATTGATCATTTGCATTTAGAGAACCCTTAAGGTCTCTGTCATGTCAGTTACTTTGCACTTGCGAATTGAAGTAAAAAACACAAGTCATTTTCCGCTTGGAATTATGAGGTTCTATCTGCCAGATCATTCATTGAAGCTTTACTTTTCAAGAAATACAATCAAAAAAAGTATAAGTTGGTGTTGTAACAATATTTTGATACTTGAGAAAGTTAAATTTTGGTTTCTATAACATTTATTTCATGTTTTAGGATGAATATTTTTCTTGTTTAAATTGAGCCTACAAAGCTGGGCTAAATATTTTTTTTCCAGTGCAGATGTTAGTTTTTATCTAATTAATATGTTAATATTTATGACATTTTATGCTTTATATGAATTACTGAATTGTATTTATTGAATTATATGGCCTGTGAATTAATTTAAGTGTAACGAATATGGCCGACCAGACACATAAACATTTTGCATTTTATTCCACAACCAGCCAACTTTGCCCAGAGAAGGCTCGAAACCTGATTCCAAGGTATTTACGACCCAACGGAATGTGCCATGCGGCTCTAAGCAAAGGAATGACTTACAAAGGACTATTTGCTGTTTAACACTGTTTTCATATAAACTTTACTCTTTATGTTTAATCATATGTTTTGCAAAGTTTCCCTTTCTCTTGTATTAATATTTTTGGTTTTAATACCCTTGCATATAATGTTTAACTGTACCTAGGCTAAGCATCCTCGTATACTGTTCAAGTTTGGACTTTTCGAAAAGCTTACTCGCTGTACAAATTGATCGTTGACATTTTATTTTAATGAGTACAACATATTAACGTTTTAAGAGACTTTAACATTTTTGTCTCGATTTACATAAAATTTGCCTATGCAAATTATTCTGCCTCGGACAGAGACCCATAAATTTAATATTCCAGGAAGTTAGCTTCTAATTGGTCAACTTTCCATGGAGGGTGGATCCGAACCTGCCCTATATAGTTGAAGACCAAGCTAAACTCTCTCTCTCTTCGCTCTTGGAACCCTCTACAACTTCCTCAGACTGAGAAACCTCCAAGAAAGCAGGCAGAAACCCAGACAGAAAGGGTTAATCGGACCGCGCTCGGACATTTCACCGCCCAGAATGCTTTTTGCCGCTTCAACTTGAAACTACAACCTCGTGAGGAACAAAGATCAGCCAACCAACCATGTGCTTAACAACGGGAGCTCGGACATCACGAACAGACCGCAAGTATCACCTTTCTCCCATCTAAACTGTTGTGAACTAAATTAACCCTAAAGAGACAATAGAAGGGTTATATTGAATTTGATTACGTTTGGTTGCTTGGTTTGTTCTTACAGACTCATAGGTTTTTCCCATTATTACATCCTCTCAACCTCTTCACGTTTGTTACTCTCCCCTATGCTTGTATGAATGTGTGTTTGTGTTAGGTGTTAGTTTTTGTTAGATTAGTCAATAAAGTTTAATTTTGTATAAAGAAAGGTGCCTGTGTATATTAATGAATCTAATGTCTTGAACTTTGATCTTGCTACCCTGCTCAAATTTTATGTTGATAGCATTGCTGAACGACTTGTTTGTTCGGATCAAAAGAGTCGATTCATTTGAAGCCCCGTTCAAATGACTCTTCCTCCCGCTAAGCTATTCCGCTATATAATGTTCCAGAAGGTACACGAGCCTTGAAATCTGAATCATAACTCGCAACATTATAACAGCGGGAAAGGTGCGGGAAGAATAACCCTGAGCTAATTTACTACAGTAATAATAGTGTAGATATGTGAGCACTCTAATCTACATTATTATTATGATGTGCTACCTGTTTATTTGTGGAGAATAAACAAAGCATGCAAATGTAATTGCATTGACCCTGTTAACAAATAAACTAAACTAAACAAAAAACTATAATCGAGCAGCCCTAGAAAAGGGGCGGGATTAAACAAGATGATTAGACATTAACCCTCTGGGGTCTGAGGGTGTTTTGGGGCTCTGGATAAGTTTTGACATGCACTGACATTTGTGTTGTTTTCAGTATCTTAAAAACATATTAATAGCTAATGTGTGATAACACTGTTAACAGCACAAGTTAGGCTACAATAATACCTATGCAGCATGTTTATATGTGTTTGTGTTTTTGAGAAAGAAATGTTTATGCGTGGTTAATGAAAAACTAAAATTTTGAAGTCACTGAAACATGGCCGTGAAACACACAGAGAACATTTGTGCACAAGACTTTTGAGAACTGGATCTGGTAGTCTAGTGTTTTTGCTTCAAAATGATGTAAGAATCATCTTGTTTACTTTCTCACAGAAAACAATAAAATGAAATAAAATTCCTAAGTCACTTTCTGTGTAAAAATAGTTTATGCGAGAAGGCATGAACTATCATTACTATGCAGTGAGTAACACCAGAGAAGACCTGCATAATGAGCTGCATAATGAGCCATCAGACAGGTATTTGACTAAGAGTTTCAAGAAAGAATCTGAGAAAAAATAAGATTATTTATATATTTTTTTGTTTGCAGTTTATTTAAAATATATTTAACTATCATACAAAATAACTCGATACTAGTAAACCTAATAAACTCAGTCACCACATATAAATTTTAAACAGAACAGCACCTGTATTGTAAACAAGTATTTATTTTTATAAATAATAATAATAATATATATATATATATATATATATATATATATATATATATATATATATATATATATATATATATATATATATATATATAAAGGTCATAAACGTTAGAATAAGACTTATCGTAAGACTTATCGCAAAAGTAGACATATCAAGCTTTCTTTAGAAACATCTCACATGTTTCTTTGTTGAGTATTTGCTGAGTTTCAGTTCATTTTAATGACGTGTTTTTCCTGACACAGTCTACTGTTGCGCGCTCCTCATGCAGGCTGTTTGTAATGTCAAAGCTTCGTGGGCGTGGTCGCATTAACTCTAATGAGCTCAGACTGAGAAGCTAGACATAGCGTTGCTTTCATACTGATTATTTTATCAAACAATATTTGTTTTCAACATGCATAGCTGCGTTTAAGCTGAGTTTTAGCGCATTTTACTGACGCGTTTCTAAAAACAGTTCACGGAGAGAGAAAAGACAGAATGCCTACACTGTTTATTATCCTTGTTTTACAAAAGCACACTACTTTGTTTTTGTTGTGAGTGTACACATTTAAAAGTAGACACCTAACAGATTCGATTGATGTATTGATCTTATCTGTACGATCAAAACTGAAAGTGTAATTTAGGTTCATTTCAGCTCAATGAGGTAAAAACTTGTCAGAACGCGTATACGCGGTCTTCGACCCCAGGGGGTCAAGTGAGCGACTGGTCCATATTTTACATTTCTGTCCAGAGAGGTCAAGTTATAAAAAGTCCAGTGTGACTGTGGCTTAAGTATAAGTGAACTCTATCTCTCCAGCGTGGAACTTCATGTGGTAATTAAGGGATGTTAACTGGCTGAAACTTTTCCCACACTGAGTGCATATGAATGGTTTCTCTCCGGTGTGGATCCTCATGTGTTGATTAAGGTTTGATATGCAGGTAAAACACTTTCCACACTGAGTGCATGTGAATGGTTTCTCTCCAGTGTGGATCCTCATGTGTTTATTAAGGTGTGATGATTGGCTAAAACTCTTCCCACACTGAGTGCATGTGAATGGTTTCTCTCCAGTGTGGATTCTCATGTGTTGATTAAAGTTTGACGATTTGCTGAAACTCTTCCCACACTGAGGGCATGTGAATGGTTTCTCTCCAGTGTGGATCATCATGTGGTGATTAAGGAATGATAATTGGCTAAAACTCTTTCCACACTGAGTGCATGTGAATGGTTTCTCTCCAGTGTGGATCCTCATGTGTTTATTACGGGATGATGATTGACTGAAACTCTTCCCACACTGAGTGCAAGTGAATGGTTTCTCTCCAGTGTGGCTCATCATGTGTTTATTAAGGTGTGATGATTTCCTGAAACTTTTTCCACACTGAGTGCACGTGAATGGTTTCTCTCCAGTGTGGATCATCATGTGTAGATTAAGGTGTGATGAGCAGCTGAAACTCTTCCCACACTGAGTGCATGTGAATGGTTTCTCTCCAGTGTGGATCATCATGTGAATCTTAAGATAGCCTTTTCTTCCAAAACTCCTTCTACAGTGAGTGCAAGTGAAACGAGTCTTGTCTGTCCTTTTCAAAATACCATCAGTATGTAAATTGTTTTTTTCCTCAATTTTGACATGATGTTCCTCCTCTTTCCTCCCCTCATTCTCTCTTAGGTCTGAAATAAATAGATAAAACATAAGTTTTCATTAAGTCTTACAAACTCTCATAAAAAGCTGAAAAGTGAAAAGACACTGGAAACATTGGCTACACACATCGTAATTTTGATGCGCTATAAATGTAAAATAAATCAGATAATATTTAGTTCTGTCCATTAATGTGTACACATTTAAGCAGATTTAATGCAATTAGGCAGATTTAATTTAAGGCAGTAGTGGTGGGCAAAGCGAGGCTTCATGAAACACTGAAACAGTCAAAGCAAATGTGTCGAAGCTGTGAAACGTTTCGAAACCCCACTCTACAGTGACATCTAGTTGTCATTTTTTTATGTATTGCATTGAAACAGCTTTAGCAAAGAACAGTTGAGCAAACTGAGGTAATAAACCCCACTTTGTATACTTGAATCTTCAAGTTATTTAGTGGAGTGGTAAAGGTGTCTGACTACCATGCGGGGATAGTGGGTTTGAATCCAGGCTAATATAGCCATTTTGAAATCCTTTAATACCTGTTGGTAATGCTTTGTTCTTGTATTGTTTCAACATTGGTCTGACAACCGAATAAACACGTTCTAAATACATATGTCTTGTTTTGGTCTTAAAACAGGGTTGTTTCTAGATCAGACAATGTGGCCTGAAGTCGTCAAGGATTATTTATATTATTCATTAAATTTTCCATTTATTGAATTTTATTAAAGTCTACCCAAACCTAAAACACAACCATCACAGTACTGTAAAATATTAATTATTGTTTTACAGTGTTACAAAAAATGATGCTAAATTGATGGCGTAACTGCAGCTGTATCCTATTTAGGCTACACAAAACAGAAACATGATTAAAACACACGAAACCATGATTTCAGAGTATTTGTACAAGTTGGGATTCGAACCCAAAAAGTCATTCGAAGCATAGCAACAGCGTGCACACGCACAGTCCACTAGGCCATATGAAACAGGGATTTTCTCTGACCTTGGCAGTCAAATACAGATTCGCCAGGCCTTGACACGCTTCTAAGCTGATCAATACTTTGAATCGCTTTAGTCACGTGACCAGGTGTTTCGAAACACTTAAGTCATGTGACTTGGGTGCTTCGGTGCAGTGTTTCGAAATACTTGTGCTTCAGGATCTCGACACTGTGTTGAAACGTCAGTTTCACATCAGCCATCCCTAAGTGAGAGGAGCTGCCGATGTCTGCGGGTGCATGAAAGCTGTGCGCATTAACAGCTGAGAAGACGTTTTATAACCGTTCGCTTTCAATGATTGCTGCAGATGCAATATCTGGATGCTAGTCACTGGACTCAAAATAAGCCCTTTCGTTATTAATTTGTTAATGGTTTCTGTTTTATCCAAACAATTTTATATACATCTTTAGTATACGGACAAGCCCGGACATGTCCCGTAATGATCATTCAGTTGTTCAGATCACCGTTATTATTCTCCTTTGAGGTTTTCCTAACAGTTTATATTGTAATGTGAATCTGATATGTTATAAATTAAACGTGGAAAGGGGCTAGTATGGCTGAAAGACTGTTTAACTGCCTCACAATTTGTAGCATTTCTGGGCATTTAATGTATACCTGCATGTGAATGAGTATTCTATCGACACATGAATGTTTAATCTAGACCTTTTTCCAGATAAATCTAATTTCTACTTATCTAAATTGTTTAGTAAAAAAATGTCACTGATGTTAATAAGTAATACTGGTTTAATACATAACAGCAAATTTTGTTTATACATTTGTAGCTTATTTATTATTTTATTGTACTTATTATTGTTCAGACTATGTACATCCTTGTATTTTCATCTGGGGTCCACTCCTCAACATTCAATATAAAGTGTTAAAACAGATAACCTGTCTCCTCATCCTTTGTGCTCTGACCAGTACTCAGAACGGTTTACTCAAATTATTCATCTTTTGAACGTAAAACCTGTAGAACAATTTATTTATCTAGTGCTTTTACAATGTAAATTGCTCCGCTCCCGTTGCCCCAGCAACCCTGTACCCCGACATGTTCACATATCACCACATCTCCCCTCCTTAAAGTGATGATGCCCCCCTGTAGTAAATATATAGCAAGTTCCCTTTTAGCAACATAGAACAAAGCAAATTATTTTTCCAACCTGGTTACAGATATCAACTTAACAATATCCTTTGCTTACAATCGTCAAACTCTTAACCATAACCTGTCAACATCACAGATGTGTTTTTAAGTTCACTTTTTTATAACTGGCGTTATAAAAATTGTGAGTTTTCTGCAGCTTGAATCCAATGCTATCTGCCAGAATCCACTGGACGCATCTAATGTGGAGAAAATGCATGCACCAAATAGTTTTGGTAAGATATCCTCCAGTTTAGGCAGAGTGAATCCTTCTAGCTTTACTGCTTCATTCAGTTTCTTTAGGTCAACACAGATTCTATTTTTGCCAGTTTTCTTTATCACAGGCACCATTGGTGCACACCAGTCTGTAGTTTCAGTGACTTTAGCATTCACTGCAGCTCCTCTTCCACTTTTGGCAGCAATGGAAAGGAGACTCAACGAGGGGAAGAGCGGCTGTATGGTTAAGCATCTTCTCTGAGCTCAATTTTGATTGGCTTGCAGTTTAAGAGTCTAAAGTTTCCAAAAACAGAGTCCTCCATGTCGACAGAATCAGCTCTACTCACCAGTATAAATTCACGGGCAGTTGTATGACTGAGGAGATTGTTATTGTATGGGCCTTTAACAATCTAAGTCCAGAAACTGACACTTTGTCCTTTCCTTTCTGTACAGGCTATGAATTTACCATTACAGTCCAATTTGCCACCGGGACTTCAGATGTCAGCAGATGTTTAAGTAAGATAGGGGCAAACAGGAAATTTTAGAAATATTTGTTCATACATAACTTTGATATCTGCGCCAGTATCAATTTTAAAATTAACAGTAGTCCCCTGCATTAGTAACTTTACATGCCATCTATCTTCGTTAGCATCATCAGAAACTGACCCCAGAAACCATATTCCCTTAGTTTCATCCTCTTGTTGATCACTGGTCACTTTTTTTTTTTTTTTACAGTTTTTGTTTTACTAGCAACTTCGAAATGTCCTGTTTATTACACCTGCGGCATTGTTTACCCCAAGCAGTTCAGGCCCCATATTTGTGTTTTTTTTCACAACTTGAACATGTAACTTTACTACTTTCATCTCTTAGTTTAGTGTCAGAATTTCTGTATTTACCTCCTGTGTATTTCTTAAATTGCCTCCATGCTTAGACTTGTAGCTCACTTCACTTACATCACCTGCTCCTTGAATTTTAACGCTTTGTTTTAATCAGTTCCAACTGGCGAGCAATATGTATCGCTTTCTTTAGCGTCAAATCGGTCTCTAACTGCAGCTTTTCAGACACGTTGCTGTTTGCAATTCCAATCACAATGCGATCACAAATCTGCTTGTCTTTAGTTGCACGAAAATCATGAAACTCTGCCAGCTCATATGGACTCATGATAAACGCTTCAATACTTTCCCAATTTCGTTGATTCTGTTTGTGAATCAAGCACAGTCAAGATTCAAGTTGCGTTTGGGCACAAAATGTTCATCAAACTTTTTAACTACTGCATTGTAGTAATCATTTTCCTCCTCTACAGAAAACGAAAATGTGCTGATTATGGGTTCAGCCTGCTTGCCCATTGCATAGAGCAGTGAACCTGTACATCAATGTCTTCCTTGTCAAATTTTGTTGAAATTCTAAATCAAGATAAACGCTGCTTCCACGCCAGCCAACTTGATGGCTGTGCATAATCAAAACCTTAGGGCGTGTGAAACTTTAACATTATCCTTTCGTCCTCCTTCTCAAATGATAGGAGTGCGCTGAGGACTTTCATTCTGACACCATGTCATGTTAAACAGAGTGGACCATTGCTTTAGAACTCAGAATTTCACTTTATTAAAGCATGCACTCATTAGCGATATTTCTGCCTTCTGTGTCAGCCTGCTCGTGCTGGCTCTGCCCCTGTTGCCCCAGCAACCCTGGATCATGACACAGAACAGCCAATCTCAATAACCTGTTCACATATCACCACACAGGGAATACTTGTTCATTCTGTGGCCTGACTGGTAAACACATCAGAAAAAAATGTTGTGGGGTAATAACTGAACAATTAGCTGAATATTTGCCTTGCATACATGAGACATACCTGTACAGCAGGGGTCACCAAACTTGTTCCTGGAGGGCCGGTGTCCTGCAGATTTTAGCTCCAACCCTAATTAAACACACCTGAACAAGCTGAATCAAGGTCTTACTAGGTATACTTAAAATATCAAGGCAGGTGTGTTGAGACAAGTTGGAGCTAAACCTTGCAGGGACAGGACCGAGATTGGTGACCGAGATGCTGTACAGCATCTGCATAAAGGCTGAAACGTGCACCTTACCCCTTGTGTGCTGTTGGGTCATTTTTATCCATTATGGGTTGATTTTGAGTTTGGCCAAAACTTTCCCTGTGTTTCAGTAAACAGACTGTTATTTGGGGACATATTATTTTGACATATTCAGGGAAAATGCTTTGAAAAAAAAAAAACCTCAATACACTCTGGCCAAATTTACTCTTTTCATTATATTCATGGCTGTTTTTTCTCCATTGGCCTCTATTATAACAACATTTTTTGATCACAAAGCCATGAAAGCATATAATCATGCATTTATGACTGCTGGCGTTTTCAGTGACAACATTGTTTAATTGGTCTCCACCCATGGGACAGCAAAAAGGAAATGGGTATAAAGAAGAGGAGGAGAGTTGAAAAGCGCAGCATTATGTGGTGTGCGGAAGAAAGAGAAGTTGACTGAACTGTTGCAGTGCAGGGACACGAGTAGGGAAACCGGGTCGAGACGAGCAGTGTAAACTTAACAACTGGCTGTGAGAAACAAAAAGCGAAGGTACGTATCAAGGCAACAGAGCAAAGGCCGATGTCTTGTTACTTAAGTGCTCGTGATGTCTGTGAATGAGTGCGTCATCAAAGACTTCAGTGCAGTGTGTCCAGAACAAAATCAACTTATCGATTTATCTTGCTGGCATAGAGTCAGCTGCCAAAAGCCTTCATCCCACAATCGACAGTGTCAGAGTTTCCTGTTGGGCACCTGAGGCTGCTACTCACCGGCTGGATTTGTCAACACCCTCAACCTTCACATCCACACCTCCACATCCGCCATTCCCCTCTCATTTCCCTTGACCAAAAGTTTTTGTTTTCTTTGCTCAAATTCTCATTTTATTTCTCTTGTTTCTCTTTTTTCTTGTTTTCTCCCCATACTATTATTATCATTATTATTTTTCCGTTTTCAAATCGGATGAATCTGCTGGCCTGAAATCATTCACATTTTTTTCCTTTCACTTTCATTTGAGTTATAAGTGCTGAGGGTTTTGTGTTTCATTGTGATTATTGTTATATTGTTTGTTTTGGACTTGCAGTTGGAGCGGCGCCATGTGAAGACGCAAACTGTTGAGGTCCTTACATAAAACTTAAAATTTTGTTTAATATTGCTCTTATCCTAAATAACCTAAACCTACCTATCCTGGAAAATAAGCGTTTATAAGTGTATGAGTTTAGCTGTTCTGAGGGTAATTAATTTTAAATCAGGATGAATAAAGGTCGAAGCAACCATAGGGAGGCAGAATCCGCTACTAGCCTCCATGCTAATGCTAACCCGAAGTGCAAGCTGCATCTAAAAAAAAAAAAGAGACGGCTCTGGCGAGTGATAACAGTGCGGTCCTTCAAGCTATTGATGCACTAAAGGGCAATTTGATTAGGCTGACTTTGAAAAGGCCGTTGCACAGTCAAATTAACTTTGTAATCAAATTGACCAGCTTCAGACAGAGTTACACAATTCTGTGGAGCACATTAACGCCAGAGAGGAAGCAGCGGAACAGCGAGTGACTGGTTTGGAGTCTGTTTTGGGTGGATATTCCTGTACAATGTTTTATAACAATTATTGTAGTGTCCATTTCATTCAGCTTATTTCAAATTGGGGGAATCCACGTTTTCTGACATAATTTAAACCAAAGGTTCTAGGTGTCACCAAGTTAAATTTAAGACTTTAAGACATTTTTAAGACCATTATGAATTAAATTTTAAACCAAAGAATTTTTCAAAAGGCCCAGATGAAAAAAAAAATTATATGTCCTATCAAAAAAATATTTTTATATTAAATATTAATAATACAATAATTATGAATAATATTAAATTTAAATAATTTAGATATTTCCTAGCAAAATATCTTAAATATTGTGTCAAAACAAGCTAGCTTTACTTGTAACCATACACTTTTTTCCAACAAAAACTTTATTTAAAATAAAAAACAAATGAACAAATGTTTTAAACGTTTAAAAAAAACTATAACAAACTGAATCTATGCACAACATTCTGTCCAGGTCGATGTCCTCAGCAGTAAATACATGGAGCAGATTTGTAAATGTTATTGTAAGGAAAATAATTAAACCATTATGATAAATAGAGTTAAAATGACCTTTTTGAATTAAAAGTTAAAAGTTTTATTGAGATGAATTGTTGGTGATTGTGTGGGTTTTTGCCAGATTTGACAGCAAAACATGAACAAAGGAAAATGAAGACTTTATTTAAGACTCAATATTTCAGTAAATTTAAGACTTCTTAAGGCCTAAATTTTAGATTTTGGAGTTTACAACATTTTATGACTCGCGGAAACCCTGTTTAAACACAATAGCCCTGGTAATTAGTTATTATAATAATGATGTAATTCTAGATACTATCTGTGAGAACTAGTAACAACTACTAGAAACAAGTTTAATCCCATAGAAGTTGATTTAAAAAAGGGAATTGTGATCAACGTGACATATGCAAGTGGAAAGTACTAAGCCAACACCATCAACCAAATAGCAGATATTTTCTATGAGAATACTGTAGGTCAAATATCGTCAGCTTAGTTAAACTTTTTTAATTTATCATTTTTATAAATTTTATATAGCGCCAGTGCTCAAGGACGCTTTACAAATATTAAAAGAACAAGAAAAGCAATAACCTTAAGAAGGTAGAGAAAATGGGAGACTAATAATACATAAAATGAATGACAAAAGACACGTGAACAAGTAACAAGAAAAAAACTCATTCTTGTCTTTCAATGAGTGCTTATGTGCAATTAGGAGAACTAGGCAGCACACTCAGGGCTGCAAGATGGATTAATTTAGTATTCTTATTATTAAAAATATATCAGTATGAAAACCAACCTGTTTGTTCCTGCAGATCTTCCTGTTTGACTGTGAATGTTTCTTCAATCTTCACATCTTCACTCTCCTCTTTAATAAACGCCATCTTTATAACAGTGTGGAGATCAGTCGCTCAAGCAGGAGTTTTTCTCTGTGTTTGGACACTTTATCCTGTTTAAAATGAACAAAACAATAAAAATGTCCTGTTGAAAATGAATAAAACAATGAAGAGAAACAAAATAACTTCACTTTAACTCTTGCTTCAACAGAAATCAGGTAAAAGATCAAGTCCGAGCAAGATACAATAGCCACAAATTTGCTGAATAAAACTATGTTACTCCATTTCTTATATAGTGATGTATACTTAGAATTAATGACATTATGCTATTTAATAAATTAAACCTTCATCAAAACACTTATTACAAACTATTAAAGTACAACATTGTTCACAGTCAAATAAACAGTGTTAATGTTGTTCAGAAGTCATACTTGCATGCTAATAGACTTCTAAATGAACGAATGTGCGAATATAAAACCAACTTTACATCTATGCCAACAGCAGGTATATCATTTAGCATCTGGTGAAAACCTGAAACTTTAATCAATCCGTTTATATCTGTGTAAAAGCTTTAAAACAAACCTTTCTTCAGTTGAATCACAGCGCAGTAGCGGCGCAGCCTCATGACGTCACACGACACGCCATAATAAAAGCCTTCGGTTGGCAGACCAACTTGCATGGTGCATTCCCGCCACCTACTGGATAGAAGTGTGGAACGCAAAATGTAGAAAAAAGCATGAAAACAAACAAAAAATAAAAAATAAAATGATGTACGAATGGAGGGGATAAGAATACCAGAGGGAAGAGAGAACAGGGGGCTATTCCATAAAACTAGCTTACAGAAAAAGCCAGGCTTTATTAATGGCAGATTCTGTTTCATAAATCAAATTTACGATAGTTCAAACTTAGTTACCCTGGCAACTTATGCTGAAACTAACCTGGTCCAGGGCAGGCTAACGCTCAGGCTAAGTCTTAAGTCTTAAGTTTAGGCTTTATATATATATATATATATATATATATATATATATATATATATATATATATATATATATATATATATATATATGTTTTTGTTTTGGCCCACCCTAAAGTTCCAAGCTAGAGCTGGGCCTACTCCAAAGGTAAGTGTCAAAAACGCTAAACAAAAAAAGACTTTTATTTTGGCTTGGCGTGTGACGTCATAAGGCTGCGCCGCTCCCACACTGTTATTTGACTGGAGAAAGGTTTGTTTTAAAGCGTTTATACAAATATAAAGCGATTGATTAAAGTTTCAGTTTTTCATTCAGTGCTTAATTTTGTACCTGCTGTTGACAATATTATTTTAACCCTTTATACAACGTAATACTATTTTACTCCCAGTGGTGGGGGCTATTGTTTGAACAACAGAAAAGTGTTTTAATGAAGGTTCGATTTAATATATAACATAATGTCATTCCATTCTAAGTATACATCACTATATATAAGAAAAGTAGTTACGTTTCTAATTTTAATCAGCTCATTCTTGGTTTTTTGTTCATTGTTTTATTCATTTTAAAACGAACATTTTTATTGTTTTGTTCATTTTAAACAGGATAAAGTGTCCAAACACAGAGAAAAACTCCTGCTGAAGCGACTGATCTCCACACTGTTATTAAGATGGCGTTTATTAAAGAGGAGAGTGAAGATGTGAAGATTGAAGAAACATTCACAGTCAAACAGGAAGATCTGCAGGAACAAACAGGTTAGTTTTTATTCTCAAAGACCTACTCAGTCATTTGATCCTCATTTAGATATATTTTAATAACAAGCATAAATTAAACCTTGCAGCCCTGAGTGTGCTGCCTAGTTCTCCTAAATGCACATAAGCACTCATTGAAAGACAGGAATCAGTTTCTTTCTTGTTACTTGTTCTTGGTGTTTTGTCGCTATTTTATGTATTATTAGTCTCCCATTTCTCTACTTCTTAAGGTTATTACTTTTCTCGTTCTTCTACTGTTTGTAAATCGTTTCTGAGCAAAGGCGCTATATAAAAAAAGTTTAACTGAGCTGATGATATTTGACCGCCAGTATTCTCATAGAAGATATCTGCTATTACAGTGATAGTGTTGGCTTAGTACTTTCCATTTGCATATGTCACGATCATAATTCCGACTTCTTTATGGCTTTAAACTTGTTTTTAGTAGTTGTTACTAGTTCTCACAGATAGTATCTAGAATTAAATCATTATTTTAATAACTAATTACCAGCGCTATTGTGTTTAAACAGGGCTTCTGCGGAGTCTTAAAATGTCTTGAATTCCAAAATCCAAATTTCAGGCCTTAAAAAGTCTTAAATTTACTGAATTATTTTGTTGTAGGTCTTAAATCTTTTATAGACAAATCTTCATTTTCCTTTGTTCATGTTTTGTTACCCAATCTGGCCAAAACCCATACAATCACCAACAATTCATCTCCATAAAACTTTCAACTTTTTATTCAAAAAGGTCATTTTAACATTATTTATTATAATGCTTTAATCATTTTCCTTACAATAACATTTAAACATGCTCCATGTATTCACTGCTGAGGACATCGACCTGGACAGATTGTTGTGCATAAATTTATTTTATTATAGTTTTTAAAAATTTAAAAGCATTTGTTAATTGGTTTTTTATTTTAAATAAAGTTTATGTTGGAAAAAAAAGTGTGTGGATACAAATAAAGCTTGCTTATTTTTACACAATAATTAAGATCTAAGAATTTTGCTAAGAAATATCTAAAATATTTAAACTTTCTATCTGGGCCATCTGAAAAATTCTTTGGCCTTTAGCCCTTTATGAGTCTAAAATTTCATTCATATTGAAATTGTCTTTAAAAGTCCTAAATTTAAATTGGTGACACCTGCAGAAACTCTGGTTTTAAGTATGTCAGAAAATGTGGATGCCCCCAATTTGAAATATGCTAAATGAAATGGACACTAAAATAATTAATGATTATAAAACATTGTCCAGTATTCTAAACTATATGATGATGTTGTGGGACAATGTGATACAAAATGAACAAAAATAGTGGAACAATAACGTTTAGCATTGCACTGACTTCAACTGGCCAACAAACTAGTCTAAAAATTACTTTTCATGCGTAAAAAATTGATTACAGCATGCTGATGATATGCAAACATCTGAGTGTGATGTTCGTCAGTATTGACCACATTCTTCACATACCAGCAGGCGCGTCATTGGAATCTTTTTGCTTGAGATTTTTTTAAAGGATGAATTTTTAGATCCTAAAAACAGAAGCTTTTTCTCAATATGCGTTCTTCACCCAGGTGAAAAAATATAATTAAATGCAATTAAAATACACTTAAATACCCGAAAATACATATTTAGTACATTGTTATTTTTTTGTGTTAAATAAAAGTTTGATGGTTTTACACTATAAATATACTAATTAAAAGTATGTTTATACTTCAGTAGGACTTTAGTACACTTGACAGAAGTATACTAAATACCAGTAATACTTAAATATATTTTTATTGTACTACAATAAAGTACACTACAGAAAAAAAACATCCAAAAGACTTTTATTAGTGTGTTTTTTAAAAGTGTTTTAAATGCTTTAAACATTAGTTGATTTTTAGTACACTGTTTACATACTAATCTTGAGTTTAAAATAAGCTAATATATAAAAAATCTATTAATAATGTATTGTATTAGAAGTACATTTTCCTAAAAAAAAGTCTATACAAAATGTAGCATTGTAACCAAACAGTACAGCTACACAAAGCCTATTGCTTTACCACGTTTGAGAATAACAATAATAATAGCCCATGCACTCATAACTTTTATTTTACATCTGCAGAATCGTGAGAAAGTCGTGATCTTTATTTTAGGCAAAAAAAAAAAAAAAAACCACGATACTCATTTTAGCCACAGCATATAATTAGAATAATTGTCTTCTCCTCCAGTTCAGCTATAAACACTAGAATATTCCCATCAGGCTCCAGTAAAGAGTTTATTGAAGGACAGCAGGAATATGAGTGATCCAGAACCCTGCAAAATTAAAAATGAAGACTCTGAACAACAAATAGGTTGGTGTTTATTCCTGATCAGGGGTGGCACGGGAGGTTGTTGGGCTTCAGCCCTGATTGTTTGTTCCGAAGCCATGAACCTTTTGGGTTTAAGTTTTGTCAAAACATAGTTTTTCAACATATTATTCAGAAATATTTTAACCGGTTCATTATTGCTTTCCCACAGGATCAAAAAGCAATATCAGCTGTGCTTTCTAAACCTGTTTACTTTATTTGAGTTTTTTGTTTTTATCAGAGGCAGCCCTACAGCAGTAAGTGCTTTCTGTTTCTCTTTTCTAAAAGCGAGTTTACACACACCATCCTCCTGCATAGCCACGCCTCCTGACAGTCACTCAACACATTCGTCTCATCGCTGCACCACAATTGTACTTCATGTTTGTTACCTGCTTTAATTTCGTATTAAAGTAAGCTTGTTGGAAATTCTGAGGAGAATGTTGGGTTGCTATTGTAACTACACACGCAAGAGTCAAGCAGTCTTGTCTTGCTTCATTTAAGATTTACCTCAGATTTTGACTGTCAGTTCCGTATGATCTGACGAGATGCTACACGCACAGGCTGTTCTGATTAGCTGTGAGTTTTGATTTATTAATTCAGGAGTATTTATGTGAAAGTGTAGTCTGACAACAATAAATATTCTCATCAGGAATAAAACCACCTGTTTTTATACCCGTGATAACTCTGCCGAGCTGTCGCTATAAAGTTAGTTCTGCTACTGTTATTTTATACTGGGTAGGCTACTTCATTTATTTTATTATAACAATATTTTGTTGAAAATGATCCCTTAAAGGAGCAGGATTTTTAGGGTAATTTAATCCAAATGATTACAGCAGCCAAAACTATAAAAAAAAAAAAAAACATAACTTTTTAGATGGGATTAGATGCTAAGAATCCCATACTTGTTATATAATTTAAATTTTGATTTCTCTTGTTTAATTTCTGCATGCACATTTTTCCACTTGCTACTCTGCCAGAAACTTTGCCGCTGGAGAGCACCTTCAGTATTAGTTTAAACATTTGTTTAGAGATGGACCGCAAGATGTGCTTAACAGAGTGGCTACATGTGGTGAAAAACGATGGCAAAGCTAAGTATAAATATGTTAATGAAAGTAATAAGTTATAAAGCAGAGTGCAGACCAACATGACAAAGCATCTGAGGTTTTTTCACATACTTCAAGAATATCAAATTTAAAGAATGGCTTGTTAGGTTCAATGTGCTTCCCGCGGGTGCAACTAACAACAATTGTACATTTTAGTTGAACTCTTTGAGCGTGATGAGCAATTCAGTGTTAGTTTATATTTCAATATCTTAAGGTGAAACTAAACTGCGCATTCTCTCCGTCTCCACATTCATAAACAGCAAGACGCTCTGCTGAAGCACGCAAGCTTTACACTCCGTCATTGATAATTAACTTGGCTGTTGTATTGGAGTCGAAAGAATATATGAAGTAGAATTTTTTAACAGACCAGGGGCCTCATGT